TCATTTTCGCTCCAAATTTGCTCCTTTTTGCATTTTTTTGCTCCAATGACCCTAATTCATCATTCCTGCAACAAAACATCAAAAATACCTTTATTTAAAGTGCAATATCATCAAAAATAGTATAAAATAGGTATGAAAATCTCAACATATTTTTCTTTGGTCAAAATTAAATTGAAATTAAATAAGATCATCACATTTAATGTGGTTAGATTTGAAATTGAAGTCTCGTTGGTTAAGTCACTAGACACATTGGATGGGTGAAATTGGGTTTGTGTTAAGGCATGGGGGCTCTCGGTTTTGGTGTTTTACGACCACTAGGCCAGCCGGCAGGGCCAGGGATGGTGGCCAGAGAAGTCAGGAGAGCCAGGGGGAGGGTTAATTATGGTTAACCACTAATGGTTTATCATGATGGTGGAGATATTTTGGCTTAGACCCAAAAATGGGATGAAGTCCCTTAATTTAGGGAACCATTGATCCATAGCCCACCTTGGCTGGGTCAAGTGGGGTTCAAGTGGGTCTAGGTTGGTCACTAAGGTGTGCTTGGGGGTTGTGGTGTCATTAATTTGGTCACTTAGGCATGGCTAAATCAATTTTGGTGAAGGGCTTCAATTTGGGTCAAATTGTCTTGAAGTTGGGTTTAGGTTAGGCTAGCCATGATATTGAGCCCAATTGATTCATCAATTTGGTGTGGATGATTGTCAAAAAGAATTTAGAAAATATTTGGAGTGATTTTGAGTTGATTTGGTTGGTCAATTTGAAGGGATTTGGAAATTTGGTCAATTTAGGGATGTTGGGTTATACTTGTGCTTAGGTTGAGCTAGAGTTGGGTTAAGTCTAAATTGATGGTTGAAAATGGTCTAAGGAAATATCATGAAGAGTTCTCAACATCAATTGGGTGTCAATTTTGGGGTTTGGGCATTCAATTAGGTGACATTTAGAGACAGCCAAATTGGGGCAAATTGGAGGTTTTGGTCTAAGTTTACTATAAGTGAAATTGAGGCTCGAACAGTGCCCAATGAAGGGTTTCAAAGAGTTTATGATGCACAATTGAGGCAATGGGAAACATTTGGGGGTTCAATTTAGTGGGATTTTGATGTTTTGGGCCAAATTGGAGCTTTTTTATTTGGGTTAAAATTGGACTCAAATGTGGATCAATTGGACTTGAATTTGGTTTGAATTGAGTTTGATCATGATGAATTTCAGTTTAGAATTGAAATTGGGGGAAATTGGGATCAAATTGATGGACATTTGATATGAATTTAGGGAAATTATTTAGAGCTTTTGGTCAAAATTGGTCAAATTGGGCTCAATATTTAGGGCTTTTGGTCTAAATTGGTCAAATTGGGCTCAATGACAAGGTTCAAATTGGTTTTGGGGGCATTTGAAATGATTTTGAAGGTTTTGGGAAAGTTTGGGCCACCGAAGGGTATTTTGGTAATTTTGGTAAATTTGGGGGTATTTTGATAATTTTGGCAATTTTGGGTGATTTGAGATAATCTGAAATGACTTTTGAACAAATTTGGGTAGTTTGGGTGAAATTGAAAATTTGGTCAAATTTGGGGTTTGGGGTGTTTAGGTAATTTGGGTAGATTTGGGTGCAAAAGACCAAGTTGGATATTTTGGTGAAATTGAGGTGTCAACGACCCTATGTGAATCATGGACCAATGGAAACCCCATTTGGGTCCTCTATGTATTGGTCTTAGCCAAACCCTAGCGTAGGGCTAGTGGGTCTAGGGGATCTAGGGGATCATCTACTCATCTACATGAGTCTCCCAAAGATCCAGTGGTCAAAGTCAACAAGTTTGAGTTTAGGGTTGTGAGTGAATGTGAGTGAAAGTGAGTGAACCAGCTCCAGACCAACACCTAGGGTCAATCCTAAGGCCAAGCAGTCCTATGGGGACTCCCCTTGAGCTCCCCCATATTGGCCCCACCTACTAAGTGCTAGAGGTTATGACCAATATGTGGAACTTCAAGTTGAGCGAAGAAGAGTGTAGAATTTCTAATGTTGAGAGTTCCTTCTCTAGTCCTCTAGGAATAGTCAACAGGAAAGTTCTATAGCTATACCCTAGGCTACTAAAAAAAAAGATTAGACCTCAACCAAAAGTGAGGTCAACAAGTCATTAGACTCAACACGACACAACAAGATGCGACTGAACTCATCAACGGATCAAGGAATCCCTTGCCAACGACAGAACACAATGAAGGCTGCAATCATCCCAATAGAATTGGGCCTCAAATGTGTGGGGACGATCCCATATTGGTTAAGGATTGATTGAATTTCATGACATAAAAGCAGTCGTAGCCCAAGATGGAGCTGGTCTTCATAAATTACCATGTCGCCGCCATAGTTACCAGTCACCATTTCATCTGGTCGAGTGGCTTGCAACTTAAGACTGAAATGAAAAACCAAAGTCTTCTCGGTAATGGCAACATTGGAAAGGGATAGGAGGAATGCTTTGTTGAAATTACCTGGCCAAAGATGCAATGAGGTCTTCACAGAGCCATATAAATGGCTAATGAAGCAGTAATGAGTGGAAAACCAACGACAGACTGAGGACACCACAAAAGGAAACCATGAAGGTTCATACATGGGACCCTCGATACCCACTTATAGAAGCGTCATGCACAAGAATCGAAGAGAGCATCACCCCAAACACAAATCTCCAGATTTAAAAAAATAAATAATCTTATTCACCGCAAGAACCATGATTACATAAGATTCTATTAGAAAGAATATATTTTACAAGCAGATCCTCGACACCGGCCAAAAATAGGCTCCTCCTGACAAGCCTCCTATACAAAGTCCAACCTCCAAACTTAAATTGAGTCGCTCAGTAGTCCTCGGAACCGACTTTCATGAAAAGTGCGTCCTCCTGGAGCTCAGTCATCTCACGTTGGAGGTCAACTGCTTCTCTTCAAATCGCTTCCAGCCTAGCTTGCAAATCTTAATCCTGATAGGTTGGAGCCACTCTCATCTCCGACATTCAGAACATGGAAGTCTATGAAGACAACTAAAAACCGTTAATAACTTCCTCCCGCGTCGCGTCAACTTTGACAAGATGACTAACTACATCTCCTTCACTGACAACTAGATCACCTGAAGCCGAAAACATCATAACGATTGGACCGCCACTCCCAACGACCCTCGAAAGATGGTCTGCACGGAGATCTCCAGATCTCCATATGCATGAAGAAGATAGTTGATACACATCCTATATTAGAGAAGGAAAAGAGGGAAAATAATCTTAACTAAAGTCTAATTCACCTTAGACCAAGTCCTACCTCCCGCAACGCGGGATGGCAAATCTCCCACAGATATCTTCTCATTAAATGCATGGGTTACTCCCTCTGATTTGTTGATCATCAAAAAAGAGAGGAACACTCGAGAGAATCCACTGGAGGTAAGCTGTCGAGGGAACTCCCACCAACGAGCCCAACACTAAAATCCCTGACCTGGTGTCAATCCTGAAAGGGGACCTCCTCAACTTGTCGCATATCAAATTTAATGATTCCATGTCCCCGTTTCCTCCGTCAATTTCAGTTTTTTATCGGCTTTCTTTTCAACGTCTCACTTGAGGGACAGCGAGATTTGATCCCAAAAGCAACCAACACCGTGTTCTTATCAGTAGACTGCAATCTGGAATTAGACCCCTTTTCCATCATGAAACTACAGGAAAAAACATAAAAGCTAACAGAGCAAAAGCAAATCCAAAATTATGAAGCCACATCTCATAGATATGTATTTGACGATCACATGCTCAAAAATATAGGATGCTTTTTTATAACAATAAATAGGCGTTGAAAGATTTACTTGCATTAATTTTTTCTTGTCTTTTTTGCATTCATCACTATCAATAAGCTAAAAAATTGAGGAACTTTGTCAAAAACGAGTAAGGTTGGATAATGAGGACAACCAAGGGGAACAAGGGAAGAGAGGCGTGAACCACTAGAACCTACCGAGAACAGCCCAATATCATCACAACATACCAAACCACTCGCACATAGGTAATAAGAAACCAAAGGCGTAACATCCCAAGAAGACACACAAAAATCATATCCGCCGGAACAAAAAAATCACTTACTGCGCAACCACACTCTTATGATACATATTTTGTTATTATGTATTAAACCAAAATGCCCCCACCGTATCTACATACCCTTGAAGCACAATATGTAAAAATCTATCAACCTAACCATATAGGTAACGAACTCCCTTCATAATAAAAGGAGTGCTCAATAGTATGCTATGCCCTCTCCCTCTCTCTCTATTCCTCATCTAATGCTATATTCCTTGGGCATGACGCCGAAGAATCCAAATTCTATATCAATAATAGGATAAAGCATAGATAATTGGAGAGGATAAGAGAGAGAGATTAAGAGAGAAAATATTATTTACGTTTGCAATATTTAAACGCCTTTTCTTTATGTTTAGATTTAAATGACAATCATTATTTTATAGAAAATTTCGTTGATTTAAATTTATTCGATGGTAATATCAGTGATATATTCATATAAAGGTGTTCTACGATATTATGAACTATGTGCTGTAATATTATTTTATGAATACAAAATATGTCCTGATATGGTTAATCAATCAAAGCACGTTGAACAGAGTTGATGATAAAATAATTGCAGTTTATGGCTGACACATGAATTACCAGCAAAAAATCAATTAAAAAAATCGTTCATAAATAAAAGGCTAACGTACCACGGGCTCTTTTATCGGGGAAAACAATCCACTGGAACTTTTTTTTTTTTTTTTTACTGGAAGATTAACATGCGTAGAAAAAACATTTCCACGGATTTTTACAGACGATAAAAAAATTCACCAAAAATCAACTGGGAAAATGAATACTTTCACGAATTCTGCTTATTTTAAAATGAATATTTTTACCAGAAAACCACTCTTTCCCACAATAGCTCCTGAAAATAGGGTTCATGATCAACAACAATCCCTCGTCCTTAGAACTCTTTGTCCAGTCTCCAACATTTTCAAGCTCACAAGGCACGAGCTGCAAGGGCAAGCACAGGTTCGTAAGAGTTCAATCTGGAGAGCTTGGGATTGAGAAAAATGGAATTGGAGGGTGACTGGTAAATGTAAAATACTTGACAACCTCAAAAAATGTCTGAAGTCGTGCATACATATACAAACACCATTAAATCACCAAGCTACCTAGTTTCTCAAGTACGCAAAATTCCTAAACTTACCGCACCTTGACATTTAAACCAAAATAAAAAAAATAAATAGTTGAGCATCCTTGCCTCTCCACAATGATCCAAGGTAAACTCAATATGGATCAGAACTACATTTAATTAATTGGTGAAAGAGCATTCAAAATGTTTTAACAATGTTGTCCAAGCATTGAACGTGCACCTTCAGCGCCTCCAAAAATAACCGTGCTGCTTCTGTTCTTGCATCCTCCTAACAAATGAGACATAAAAACCAAAACATAAAATATAAGGCATCTGCCCTTGGCAAAAATGTTATTTCAAAATAACGAGTGCAAAAAATTACCAACAATTAAAAAGAAATCTATGCATACAATTGAAAATTTTCTCAGTTGCGACTACATCAAACAAGAAACCAACAAAATCAGTTGAGGACAAAATTTTGATTGGCAGTGAATAAATAGGACTTTTTAGAAAAAAACAAAATTTTTTAGGACCTATTTTTTTATTGGATGCAATTAATAATGTGTGATATAGGTTCTACAACTCCTTAATTTAATGATTTCTATTACAAATGACTGAATAAAGCCATCAGGTTCTAAAACATGTCTTTTAGCAACAGGCAACTAAATAGATCATAAGCGAATGTTACGGGTTGATGCGTTAATGCGATTAAGAAACAACAACAGTAAATGTCCTTTACCTCTGATGTGCTTTTGAACGCTCTATAAATTCAGCAGCTATGTCATGGCCTTGATAAGATGCAAGTACAGGTCTTATATCAGCAGGCCGGTGTACAGCAATGTCTGTCCAGGATTTAAACACATTAAATGATAAATTAAATACGTAAAATCTAAATTCACTGAGAAAAGCTCAAATTTAGTAGGGAGTTATCATTAAGGATTAAGATGACGTCAAAAAAAAACTTACATTCAAGAAATGGTATTAGATCCAGAAGAGCCGTATCATCGTTTTCAAGTTTCCATGGCTTGATGGGAACACAATTCTCTGGCTGAAGGGTAGACTCTAGAGCATGCCCACTGACATAAAGAGTTCGTGCTGGATCTCTGTTCAACTTTGACAAATCCTGCCAGTAAACAGGTCATGAGTATATGCAATCAGTTCACGTATCTATGAATCATAAAAAGAAATATCGTCCAAGGAAAATAACAATAAACCAAAAAGCACACTTCCTTGCTCGGTTTGCGATGTTTTAGCCTGTTTGCAGACTCTATAGTGGGCTTGCTTGGCTTATTGGTTGCTATAATGCTTTACTGTTACCAGACTTGCTGCTTTCTCTTGGTTTATAGATTACATATAGATTATCGATCATCTCAGCATTTTGCTACTTTGCCCGCCATATCTTTAGGCTAAATTTTTAAAACAGATTTATTATAAAAATTAATATGAAAATTTGATAAGATTTCTTTTCCCTGACATCAGACTTAACAACCACGTAGGTGGTGACTCGGCTAACCCATTAAAAAAAAATCCTGCTCACATGGGCAAAGTTGCCAGCTTCCCATTTTTACTTTTTCAGTTGGGGGCTCATTCCACCCCCTATATAAGTCCCCATTCACCCTTAAAAAATGAACTTCATACCCTCACTTTCATTCTCAAATTAAACATTTTTTTTTGAAGATCTAACAGCATTTTTTGGAGATTTAAGCAAACCCAAAGTCATTCAGTAATCTAGTTTTTGGTTAGTGAAATTTCATATTTTCTTTTAGCATATACTTTTTTATTTACTTGAGTAATTTTCTTTTAATATTTCTGTATACAATTTAGTCAGAATTTTTATAGAATCCAACGTTCTTAAATATGAATTTATAAGTTTATCATAATCAATTGATACAAACCATGTAAACTAAATAAGTAATGTTGTTTTTGATTTAATTTGAATAAATAGAATTTGTTATGATTAATAAATATTTTAAAGTATTCATACAAAAATAAAGTTTATTATTTACAAAATACAACAGCTTTTTTATGTATCTAAGATCTAATTTTTATATTTATTTATAAAACAGTTTTATGTTTAAAGTGCAGTAAAAAATATTCTATTAATTTATTTTTGAAAAATATATATTTCTAATGCATAAAATTTGATGTGATTAGAAAAGTAAGATAACAAAGAAATTAATATAAATATTTTCCACTATTTATTTTTAAATAATCATGAGTCAAGCATAACTATTTCAAGGCATCTCGTGTTTGATGTGAAATACATTTGCTCTTATTTTTTCAGAAATACATTTGCTCTTATTCTTTCGAAATCAATAATGTAGTTTGCATAAATCCGTTATGATTGGTGACTATGAATGATGTTCATAGTCAGCATAATTTTCCCCAGCATTTTTATTATAGAAATAGAACTTTTAATAAAAAATCTTATCATACATTTTCTTTTCTTTCGGGTATAACAGATTCTTTTTTAGAAATTCACAAACATATCATACAATATTTATATATTTATAACTCTAATATTTAAAATTTATACTAATAATTTTGAAACTATTTATTGAAAAATACTTAGTGATATATAGACATATGTTAGTAAGCATTATTAGTCATTTGAATATTTCTATCACAATTTCATCATAAGTGTATACTCATACTAAAATGAGTGAAAGAGTTGTTCAACTAATGAAGGGGTATGATAGATTGTTATATATTGGACAGTGTGTAAGTATGTTGGAGGTAGAAGTCAACCAGTTAAAATTCCTCAACATAGAAATTCAATAGAGTGAAGGAACATATAATTTCAATCTTTTATATGACATTGAAACAAATTAAAAGTATGTCATTTTCTAGTTAATAATAATTTTATAGTGACTCATATCCACAAGCATGTGACTATATATAATACTGCTATCACAAAAGGTATCCTGTATATATGGAGTTTGCCCCATGAAAGGTTGATGAAGTTAATATTGAAAAATCTTGCAACCATTGTCATCCAATTATGTAATGAGAAAGCATGGACCAAGATTTGATTCAGAATTCCATCTTGACTCTGTTGTTGAAGGTTATGAAATAATGTATAGCCGGAGGGCCGTCAAAATCATATTTGAAAATTGGGAAGAACTGTATCAAACTTCATCTAAATTTATCGACATCATTTCTTCAGTTATGGGAAGCCTATTTACATAATACAGAGTGGACCTTAAATTAAATTCCAACGATTATTCTAGGCATTTGGACCATTAATCAGCGGATGGAGTAATTGTCATCTAATGTTGGAGAAATATTTACGTGCGGAAAAAGCATGAAACTCTCCGCGCGTAATCCACTCCCAATAACTTCTCAATAGCCTCTACGAAGGTTATTGGGGGGCTATTAAGGAGTTATTTCGGCGTTTATTAGACTAAATACTCTAATACCAGAGAAAATGTGAAAGTGCAACGGCGGAAAGTGATAGTGTAACCGCGAAGCGTATTGACTCCAAATAACACCGAAATAACTCTGCAATAACCTCCCAATAACCTTCACAGAGGTTATTGAGAAGTAATTGGGAGGGGATTACGCACGGAGAGCTGCGTGCGTTCTCCGTACGTAAATATTTTTCCTAATGTTGAGCATGAATGAGAACTTTTTTTTTTTTTGCCAAGGCAAATAAAGAGATAATGAATTAGTCGAAGCAATTGATACTAAAATAATTTATTTCAAATAGTGATTACCATTGTGGATTCTAAATGGAATAACTCACGCTTGTGGTTCGTGAACACGTTGTGAAGTCATTCAAAGAGTTTCTACTAGGCAAGGCATGCATAATTTCAGATCATTACGTTGGACTCATATGTGGGTAAGGACATTATCTTGGGTTGCTCAAGGTATCGTCTATGATATTCTTGAGAAAAAATTTATGATGAATGGCAATTTCATATGTAGAATCCCGGTGCTAGAAAATATATTAAGCAAACAACACCAATGATAAATAGATTTTTAGCCAATGCATTACAAATATTACAAATTTAAAAACTAAAGCAATTGAATGGATGATAAAAAGGGATCCTTTCGAGTGATCACTTCTACATGATGGTGGAATTGAGTGCAAAACTATCTACAAATGCTGCTGAATAATTCAATAGATTTTCGAATTGTCCTAGAGTTTTGTCAATTCAAGCACTGATATGTTTAATCTTAATATAATATCAATGCTCCTTTTATCAAGCAATGACAGTGTCACTTAGTTTTAAGTATCTAACCAATCAAGTTTTACAACAAAGGCACGTAGCTGGATGCAAAGAACTTGAAACTACAAGATTAGTAGCACCTATCTGCAAAAACTTGCAAGAGTTTGAGGTCTACGAATTAAGCTTGTCAGTCATTCTGAGTATTCCTTGGAGGTCATGGAATTGCAAACTTTCAGATCACTTGCTCACATGCAATTACAATATTAAGCAAGCTTCGAATTAGCTGTCAAATTTATGCCTTCCTAATGTGCCATCGACAATCACAAACTCACATGTAAGTATGAGTTCCATGTGATTTCAAATAAGAGTGACATTACTTGACCAAAAGTATGGCATCGTTAGACTTCTTTCACCAAGTTTTAAGAAAACTAGTTGGCCATGAAGTAGAAAGTACACAAACACCATGAATAAACCGAAATTCCAAAACAATGAAATTTGTCACATGTGCGGACTAATAGATCATACTAGAACGGCGTTTCCATTAAATTAAAAAACAACACCAAATAATTTTAACAAAGCATTACAATTAATTCAAAGCCTTATCATGCTTTTTTCTTTTAATAATTCTCTTACAAATCCTAAAAAACTTCTATAGACTAACTGGTTGAGGATGCTCCTAGAAAGCACCCCAAACAAAAGGGAGAATCTAGTCATCATGAGAGTGGACATGAACGGCTACAAATCCTAGAGAATCTAGTCATCATGAGAGTGGACATGAACGGCCACCACAATAAGATTATTCTAGTGTAACGTGCCTGCACAGGTTTGATTGGGCAACATAACCAGATGATACAAGTTACGTAATCTGGTATTTTAAATTTATCTTTCAGTTATTCAAGTCATTAGAGATATATATACAAGAACTGTTACATGTGTTCGAATGGGAGGATTGACCAATTATTTTCTTATTTCTATTGGTTTACATCAAGGATCGGCTTTAAGCCCATATTTTATTGCTTTAGTTATGGATGGTCTTACTGGACACTTACATAAGCATGTACCTTGGTGTATGCTTTTTTGCTGAAGGCATCCTTCTTGTGGATAAGACGAGAGAAAAAGCTCAAGAAAAACTTGAATTATGAAGGTCTACCTTGGAGTCTAAAGGACTTCGCTTGAGTAGAACTATAACTGAATACATGGAATGTAATTTTAGTAGTAGTAGCTCTAGTGACGGAAATGCAACTATGGGTAATCAAATTATTAAAAGGTGTAAACGCTTTAGATATCTTTAGATATCTCGGATCTATTGTTTAAAATAATGGTGATATTGATGGGGATGTTATTAGAAGAATTCTAGTTGGTTGGTTGAAGTGGAAGAATGCTTCGGGCCTATTGTGTGATAGAGAAGTACCACTTAGACAGAAAGGAAAATTTTATAAGATGGTGGTGAGGCCTACAATGCTCTATGGCGCTGAATGTTGGCCTTTAAAAGAGAAGCATAATACTAAGTTAAGTGTTGCGGAGATGAGAATGATTAGGTGGGTGAGCGGCTTTACACTTAGAGACAAAATGCGAAATGAATATATCCCTGATAGGGTTGGTGTAGCTCCACTGACGGACAAAATTAGAGAAAGTCATCTTAGATGGTTTGGTCACATTAAACGTCGACCATCTAATGAACCGCTTAGAAGAGTAGGAGTTTCAGATGCGACTTATGTTAAGAAAGGCAGAGGTAGACCTAGGAAGACTTGGGCGTATTGTATAAAAAAGGATCTTAATTTATTAGAATTGAATGAAAATATGACACAACATAGAACGCGATGGAGAAAAAAGATTCATGTAGTCGACCCCACATGGTGGAATAAAGGTTCTGTTGTTGTTGTTTTTTGTTGTTTCAATTATTTACAATTACATTGCTGATTTGATTATATTCTCTACCAAGCAAGATGTA